TAGATCTGATGTAAATTAACTTCATATTAACTATTTTTATATAGGAGTAATTCTATATATCACTTAATATTAAACAATGGGAAATTTTAATAATCACATTACAAATTTTGATCCCTGGAATTCTTGGTAATACCAATGTTCACTTTGTCTGGTTTTGTTACAGTATGCCCCATATATAATACGTAGCTGAATCCAAAAAAATTTACTCAACAGCAGATAAATTAATTAATCATAAGGAATTATATTGCATAAGCAATTATTATAATTAATATACATTTGTTTCTATCATAGCAATAGTTTAATATTTTTATTAACTTTAATTTTCAAAATCATTCATTCATTATAATAAAGAAAGTATTTAAAATCAAGTTCTTTCTATAATTCCACAAAAATCTTCTTTGATTGTACCAATTGCAAACTAAAAATAATAATAATAATAATTATATTTTTTTTCCCATGATATTAAAAATATTATATCATTATTAACTTACAATATCAGTTGCATCAAACCTTGTTCCGACTATTTTTATCCTTACATGACTGCCTTTTTCTAGCACTGTCTGTTTAAATAAATAAACAATAAAATTTTTTCAAAAAAAAAAAAAAGATTTAAATAAAATATAATAAATACAAATTATGCAATACATTTTCATTTTCAACAAAAGCTGGTGGATTCCGACTTGAGTCAAATGTAAGATCTTGAGGAATTAACTAAATATTACAGAATAACATATATATAATTAGAATTATCAAATAACTAATATATAATTGTTATAAGAACACATACATGACTAGACACAAAAATTTGTAAAGGACCAACATCTGCAAAAAATCCCATCTAAATATATAAAGGTTTACATACAACATAACTTACAAATCATATTAAATAAATAATAATAATAGAGAATACCAATATCTATTACTTACTTTATTAACTTGACTGACTATAGCATCCACCACTTCTCCTTTAAAAGGTTTATAAACAACAGCTCTATAATTTACCTCAAATTCAGCTATTCCATGTGAGGGTATAACTTTTCCATTAGAAATGTCTAAACTCTCTATAGTATCTAACACACAAATCACATAACCAAATCTTCCAGAACATTTTCCTTCGACATCTGCATATAACCTTGCAGCTAAATAATTATTAAAATTTTGTGTGAAAAATGAAGGATGTAGTTGAATTGTGTGTGTTAATTTTTTCTAGATAAAAAATTAAAAAATTAAAAAGATTATTCTTATGATGAAGCAAAGTGAATAATAAATTAATATTACATACTATAAAGAACATTTTCTTTGACATTATTTTTTTCCAATTAAGGGTGGTATTTATTGATTGCTACACGTAATACATTTTTGATCATGTGATTTTTGTTTGACACTTTATATTAGTGTCAACACATAGAGTTCAATTTTTGATTCAAATGCATCTGTGACTTTCATTAATTTAATAGCATAACTCTTTAACTTAATTAATGTTGTAAGTTGCTTGGATATTTTTTATGAAGCAAAGAAATGATTTTATTTTAAATTTATTTAAAAAAGATGCTAAATAATAAAGATCTTTATGAAGCAAATGTTGAAAAAAATATCCTGAAAAACAGTACATTTTCTGTTTTTCTGTACAGAAAATGTATTAGATTACTGGTAATTACTAGTATGGAATATTAATGTGTATGGAATGTGATTTTTTGTGTATTTCCCGGGCAGAATTGTACAGAATAACACTTGTTTCCTACAAATATGAAATTCATGTTGGGAAAATTTTTCACTTTAAAATGAATATGTGTGCGAAAATCTTGTTGATAGAAAACTCTTACAAAATGCTACATGACCAATTGCTAATTGATTTTTTGGAACTTTAAGTCAATCAATGATTAGTTTACTATTAATCTTTTTAGCTACCTGACAATCTTTTTACATGCTCTAACAAATCACTGTAATTTAAATAGGAGTGAACTGGAGATGACACTACTCTACTTGGATATTTTTTTAGCTTTCTGTTTTAATCCCATTACCATCTCTGATGATATTCAGCTTTTCAGTCACAAGATGCCAATAATTAATATCAGTTGTTTCCAACAAAGTATTTGCAATTCATGCCTATGAATGATTGTTTTGTAAGCTTGTTGAACAAATAAAAAAAAATAACACTTTTTTTAAATATTTATCCGATTCCAACACTTGTCTTTTATAATGTTTCTCAAATGTATACTGTACCCATCATTGCTATATCTATACATTTGGGAGTCATCGAACAGAATCTTGTTAGTAAGACTTTATGCAGTTAAATAAAAAATCAGATAAGAACCAGATAAAATAGGAAATTTAATTAAGAAGACTGTTAGAGTGGGATTTTTATATAATAAAAAATTGGGACCAATTCCCAGTTCATTATAGAATGTAGGCCGTTATAGAAAAGGTTGTTATACTGTACAGTCCCCAGCAAAAGTAATGGTGCAAAAATTAGAACCACTTGGCTCAAGAATAGTTCCATAAATTGTCCAATTTAGGATATTATATATAATCAAATCATGTAATTAGATCATAACCATAAAAAGTAAATAAAAAAACAATGACCATAATTATCATTTTTTTTGTTTATTTTACTTTGTAAAATGCCTTTGAACCCTATTAAAGCCAACCATAATACTGTTAACTTTCTCTGGAAACAAAATATTTGTACATTGAAAGAAATTTCAAGCAGAACTGGGATTCCATTACGCACATGTCAACAATACATTGCATTGTTAAAAAAAAAAAGGAAAATACTTGAAATTCATTGGTCAGGTCACCTATGAAAATTATCAATGATGCCAACTTGGAATGATTGTCAAGAGTAACTACTATAGAACCACCACCAAAATGAAGGCTATTTTGGAAGAAAAGTATCAAGACCTTGAAATTAGTGAGAGGACTATCCATCATGGGCTTTCCCAACCTTGGTTATATTACTACTCTTCCAAGAAGAGTCTCTCTTTTAACACAACAGTAAGACTAATTGCTCATTGTGGACAAAAGATCATGTGTGTTACAACTGGAAGAAGGTTGTTTTTTTTCAGATGAGACAACTATCCAAATGTTTCATAACACTATGTTGGCATGGTCTCATGAAAAAAATCCCATCCAACCATGGTAAAGCATCTGTTTAAAGCTCATATTTGGGGTGTGACCAATTTTAAGGAGAAGATTGGCATTCATGTCTTTACTGAAAACCTTGACCACCACCTATACCATAAAATTCTAAATGAACAATCACATACTAATGCTGATGCATTAGTAGGTGGTTGTTGGGACTTTCAGCAGGATAATGACCCTAAACATACCTCTATGGATGTCCAGAATGATCTGAATGCCTGCATCCTAGGACATGGCCTTTATACAATCCAGATCTATATTGAAAAACATATCAAAAAAATGGTAGCACAAAAAACTGTTTCTCAAAAAAAATTTATAAACATAATTATGGAGGAGTGGGAAGCTCTTGAAAAAAATACAATAGTTAACAACATCAACAGCATGCAAAGTCAGTTTCAAACATGTATTAATGCTGAAGGTGCTCACACCAAATATTGATGTAATAAAAGTTGTAGCCATACTATTTGGCTTTAAGAATATATGTATTTTTTAATTGCACTTTTTATGCCATTAATTTTGCCAGGGACTGTAATTCTTACATCAAAATAACTTCAAGTACTTTTGGAGTTTTTTTTTTTTCAATAAAATAATACTACCAGCATCAGATTTTTTTAATCTAACTATTTGAAAAAGCAGCTTTAAAATATGAAGGCCTTGCTTTTAAAATGGTAGAATGAGCTTTATAAATTTTAACATCTAGACTAAAGCTCCTCATGAGCTGGCTCATGCAGAGCCTTAATCTAAACCTTTTCCTGCTCCAATTTCTACATCATAATGATATTTTATTTAACTTAGTTAATAGTATGCCAAAGAGTGTTAAAATGGTAATTTGAAGCAAAGGTGGCATATTAAATATTAAAATGGATTTTTTATGCCTTCATAGAGATGCGCAATGTGCATTATGCATTACATTATGTGATGTGCATAATAGATATAGATAAATCTGTGTTATGTACCAAAATTTTAATAAATTTTTTTTTAAATTCTGTATTACATGATATAGATAATAAATGAAATAAAAATTTAAATGCTTCCAGCTAATCCCATTTGGACTCAACTCAATAAACTTAGTCCTTATAAAAAATTTGGCATGGAAAATTGGGGGGTCCAATATCATATGTGTTACAACATATATGAAGCCATATATTAATTTTCATTATTAAGGATTTTTTAA